AGTTGAAGCTCTGTGTGAGTCTCTTTACACGTTGTAAGTCATGCTAAATGGTCCCATGGTGTTGGTGTGGGATCAGGAGACTGCTGTGACAAGAAAAGTAGGCAGACCTCTTTGTGAGGGCCTCATATCCACACATTCATCCAAATCCTGATCTTTATACTGCTGACTGGCCTCTAGATAACTTTAATTAAAGAAAAATTGGATCTGTTGTGTAGCCTTTTGGTGTAATTGACCGCCCAAGATGGACTTTGAATGTTGAACCTGGCCTGGTCCTCTGGTTTGAGAGCCGCTTGTGGGTTTCAGCTTCTCTCATGCTCATGCTCTTTTGCCTTCAGGTGGAACAGTGGAGGACTGGATATTTCACATCAAAATAAAGGAAATTAGATGTTACATTTCTGTTAGTTTTTAATTATTGTTTGGTGTTTTCCTTGTTGGTGTAAACTAATCCTGCCACATTCACCAGTCTTCTTGAATTTAGTTTTTTAGGTCAGTTTGTGGCACTGACAGGTCAGTGGCTCAGTCCTTCCCCAGGGCTTCAGCCTCTGCTCTCAGGAAGACATCTTACAAGTCCTTCTTATCTTCAGTTTTCCCTTCTCCTCCCATTGAACCTGTTGTGCTTAGCTGTCAGGTTGATAAGGCTCACCTTACCTTGATCTGTGCTTGGAGAGGGCAGTTTGAAAAAGGAGCTTCTGCAGATGGAATGATTCTGATTTACTTGTAACGAAAACCATTTGACAAGCAAATACATTTTCTTCAGCAAGCATTGATGACATCAATTTTTTTTTCTCCTGAAGACTACCCAGCAACTAACAGTTCCTTTGTTTTTCAACATGTGCTTGGAAAAGATTTTGTGGGTTTATCTGTGATTTGTTAGCCTGAGAATGGCATTTTCTCTTCCATAATACTTTTTTTGAAGGCTACTTACACAGGGTTTGTTTTGGCTTCGAAGGAAGGAAACATACCCAGTACTGCTTAATTTAGAAAAACCAACAGTGGAAGGGAAAGGTTTGGCTCTAACTTTGGGGTGGGACTGCCACAGCTGACAGGCATTGTGTAGCTGCAGGCTTCGGCTTGGCCTAAATGTCTTCAACAAACAATAGTAAATAATATTGGGCTGGATTGCATGTATGTCAGTGTAGTCCATATTAATCCCTTAAACAGCCTAGGAGAGTTAAGAGCAGAGAGAGTTTAATTTGAAAGCAGGCAATAAAACAGTAATGTGTTAATATTTATATACCTTTTTTTGAGAGAATGGACCTCATTTAGGAACAGTTAAAGAAAATGAGAACTGACGTGATTTGAGCCTTACTAGAATGGGTTTTCCAGGTTGTACTTCCAGCTTGTCACTGTGCTGCTGCCCAGGTGGAAGAGTACCTCTCTGAAAAGCAAGTAAAAGCATGGTGCTAGTCCCAAGCCTCCATAACTCTGCAAAGATTTCCTACTGTAAAGGCTGTGCTGCTGCTGCTGCTAATCTGGTTGGTGTCTGTAGTGCTGTTGCAGTAAACAAGTCATGTGGCAGGGCAACTTGCAGAGGGCATGGCTGGAGAAGAGGGGCCATTTATTTATTTCTGGTCTCCTGTTGTCTTTTCACCTTTTCTGAGGTACTTGTGCAGTCCTGGCTCTAGGACTCAGTCAAACTCCCGCTATTTCTGGCTGACTGAGTGTGCTAAGAGCTGACATCTTTTGCTGTTCCCCTAGTAAGTTTAATTTTCATTACTTCAATAATGATCCCACGTCCCCTGGCAAGACAGTAGCATTGATTCTGTTTATACCAGATCAGTCAGATTTGTTTTGTTCTCTGATACAGTGCTATAAGAAGATTCATTCTTTGCTATCACTTGACCTGTTGCCACCTATTGCTGTTCCCTTCTCCCACTGCCATGATCCAGCATGGGTAGCAGACACAGGTTTGTGTGAGGGTGTTTTCAATTTCCTGCTGCCTCTGCAGCAGGAAAATTGGAAACCTCAGAGCACCAAGGCTTTATTCCCACTGCGAGAAGGTTACTCTGTGAACTGGTGAAAGATTTAGCAGAGGTTTTTGGTCCTGATGATACAAATTCATACTCTCTGCGAGCAAGCCCTGCTTAGTTACACAGACACCGTTTATTATTTGCTGATAGCAGTTTTTCTGAGAATTTTTTTTCAAAAGGCTTTTTTTTCTGTCTCACCAGAAGTATCTTTATGAGAAGGTTTCCAAGTTTGCAATATGTGCTGCTGTTCTGGCAATCACAAGTGTGGAACAACAGAGCTCGTGGGGGGTTGGACCCTGTTCCTGCCTCCTCACTGTGAGAAGGGAAGCAAGTATGGATTTTGCCACAGGAGATTTATCAAAGATGCTGTTGCCTTCCACAATGTAAATTACTTATATTCAGTCCAGAGTATTTTGCTGTGCTGCTGTTTTATATAGCTGTAAATGACTTGGATACGGTCCCAGTGGAAAGTCCTTACTATTTTGTAATGCAAAATAGGAACTCTGCAGTAGAAATCTATAATGAATGAACAGGAACATCATCTTCCAATGTAAATAAGATCTTGCTCTGTTTATTTTGACATCTTTTTACAAATATGTTGCATTCAGGTGTAAATATCCCAAACCATGATCTTATTCAGAGTTCTGAGATTTCTATTGTTAAATGTAATACTTTGTTTAATAGTTGTAATAATTATTTGTATAGATATGAACATGATAGTATTTTATTAAAAAAAAGAGAAAACACTCTTTGAATATTGTGTTCCTGTTGGTACTACTTCTTTCTCCACAGAAAGCTATGCCATTCACTCTGAAGTAGAGGTAAAAATAAAAGCTTTGCTTTGAGACTGGGGATTTACAGTCAAGAGTTTTCCACTGATGTACATTATCTGCATATACCAGAGTAATGCACCATATTAGTTGGAGATACAGAACTATGTAATTCAGAAGAAATAAATACTGATTGTGTAGAATCTAAAAAATACATGGCAGGGCTGTCCCTGCCCCGGTGACAGCGATCACTGTTAAGATACAACTTCATTTTATAAAATGCTTCTCATTACATTGGCTTGGAAGTGGTCTAAGATAGTTGTTTTGTCACAGTTTGGAGCTAAACGATGCAGTTTGGGTGAGAGCAGTACGGAGATCCATTCACGGTATGCTAAGGCTTTTGTGGGACATTGCACAATACTGGTTAACAGAATTACTAGGAAACAGTTCTTTCCCGGGACTCCAAAAAACCTAGCTTGTAAACCTCAAAATTCTTGCAGGTGTGGAAGTTGCCTTTAGGGAAGGTCTTAATTTTAAAAAAGGCTGAAATGTAGTATTAAGACAGAGGGGCTTTTGTTCCTTCAGTGACAGCCAGTGAACAGTTCAGTCATAGCAGAGAGGAGGGGAAACAGGCCCCGAGGGAGCTGCCCTCCTCTTTCACTGCAGTGCATTCCCCCTGCCTTGGCTGCTCTTCTGCCAGTCCAGAGGCTAGAGGGGGAGTTTTAACAGCTCACATGACTGATAGTTTTCCTAACCTGTGAGTGGATATTAGTATTGTACAGAAGCTGTTTCCTTCTCCTTTCAGTTGTACTGGGCAGAAAAAAATTACCTACATTTCCTGAGAAAACATGGAATGTAAGGAAAAGTTTTTTACAGTGAGAGTGGTAAAACACTAGAACAGATTGGCCAGAGAGGTGGTGGATGCACCATCTTTAGAATGGCCTGGTTGTTTGAACAACAATGGGGGTTTGAGCAACTTGTTCTAGTAGGAGGTGTCCCTGCCCATGGCACCGTTATTCCCCTTTCAGGAGTTGTGACAGCAGCTTACCCTGAGCACGGGCACTGCAGTGGGAAGCAGAGACGCTGCAACCAGCCCATGGGCAGCAAAAAAGGCCCCCTCACCTCCCAACACAATTCCACAGTGCTGCTCTGCTTTTACCCCTACACATCTCTCCCTCTGTGAGCAGAGAAAGGTGAGACAACAACAGCATGACCCCTTCAAATCAGGGAACGAGGGTCCCCTATGTAGCCAGCAAGCAGCTCTTCCTGCCCGAGGACAGTGGCCTAGAGGACAGCAGCACTCAAGACAAGCTGCATTTCTGGGGGCTGCAGAGCCAAGCATGCCTGGGACAGCTGGGAACACAGAGTACCTGCGTGCCCAGCCAGAGCCCCCAGCAGCCACAGCCATCGAGGGGTCAGGCAACCACTAGATGGGAGAGCTGAAGCACAAACAGAGCCCAGGAGGCAGGGAAAAGCTAAGAGGAAACTTTAAAAATTGATGCAGCAAGCTGGAAGTAGCAGGGAGACAATTCCAACCCTTCCTCCCATCTCTCAGGCTTGCGGTGCCTTTCCTTGCATTTAATTGAATCCTGTCATGGTTTTCTGTCTGTTCTGTGCTATTCTCCAGCCTCCCTCTCCCTCTCTGCTACCACCTTACCATTCCATGCTGTGCTCATCTCTGCTCAGACCAGCAAGCCCATATGCTGTTCTACCTCCTACATCGAGACTTCCAACTGCTGTTCAACATTATTTTTTTCTCACATTTCAATTTAGATTATATAACCAGCTTCCTGTCTAAAAACAAATAGAAGCTTGCAACAAGGTCTGAAACTATAGATTATGAAAACACAAGGAGAAAGTATATTTTATAAAAATATGTCGCCAGAACTGGACAAATTTGGAGGCACAGAGGTCCTTCTTCAGTCTGGCACAGCTACCCTGACACCCTTCAGAGCAGCACAGCTCTGCTTGGGAAAATAAAGACTGACAGCCTCTTGTGACATTTCTCCTCTAGCCATCTCCTCACCCTGCCGAGGGACTACAGTGACAAACAACAATGTCTGTTCTTTAAGTAGCCTCACAAAGGCACTTTGGTTAAGAGAACAAGCAGGTCATCCACACCTATGTTCCAGAAACACCTGTGACAGTCCCAAGGATGGCAGCAGCTGTGTGATACCGCTGGGCACCCCTCTGCCCTGACTGCTGTCTCTGCTGCTGAGAGCAGGAGCAAGAAGAATTTAGATCAACCTGCAGAGCAGGGAACGAGGAATATCCATTTTATTAACCATCTTGGCAAACTCCAACTTAGAAAATAATAAAAACCAGCTGGTGCAGAACTCTTCAAGGAGATACAGACTCTGGGAGTAAAACTTCACCAGTCATCTGCTTTAGTAAGCAGAAGTGGAATGAAACCTTTGGTGTATGTGCATGTAGCCAGTAATGCAAAGTAAAAATGTTCAGGCAGACAAGAATAAGGAGAGCAGGGCTCAAAGAACACTTTTTAATTGCAAATTAGCAAAACAGGTCCCATTTTAGATGCAAGGCCTGAAATAATTCACATATTCTTGGGGGTTTTTTTAACAATGAATAAACTGAAAAGAATGCAGAAGCCATTAAAGAACTCATTTCAGATTCAGACAAGCTGAAGAAGAAAATTTGGTCCACATCGTTAGCTGAAGAGCTCAACACCAAGTGCCCCAAAATCTCCTTCACCCTCCCAGCCCATAAGGGAACCTGCTTTGCCAAGTTGTCCAAGGCAAGTTCATGAGAGGAGAAAGTCAGGCTGCTGGAAAACCTCCCTGTTCCACCCTGCCCCTTTGGCAAGGCACACAGCAGGAGCCAAGGGCTGCCACACAAGGCTGTGATTGTGCTGTGCGGCCTCTCTTTGGGTTGCTTGAGGAGTGCACGTGCCATGACAGAGACCAGCACGCTGCCAAGTGCCAGCACTGGAGCTACCAGAGGAGTGTGGCTGTTCAACAGGAGTGACTGAGAGGCTGCAAGAGAGCAATGTAGGAGGCTCCGAGTCTGGCAGAGCCCTCACAGGCAGCTCCAGTTCACCACCTCCCACCAACGCTGCAGCCTTGGTACCATGGTTCCCCACCAGCTACCGAAGGAGTCTCTCCAACAAAAGAGGAAAAAAAAAGCACAGTGCCCCCACTGCCACCTCAGTTTGGAGTCCTTTGCTCCCTCGTCTGCTGCAGTACAGGAACCAAATGCTCTCCCTGTGCTGCTGAAGGGACTCTCTGAGGGCAGTAGACTGCAGAGTGCAGGCATTAATTCTCTGTGCAGGAAGATTTGTATGGCACTTCTCAAGCCTGCTTGCCAAAGAGGAAGTGGAGCACATCAGCAGGAAGGAAGAGAAGCAAAGGTGTCTAACATGCCTCCCCTCCTGTTTCCTCCCCCCTCACTGGCTCCAGCACCCACTGCACCCACAAGCCAGAGGGCTGTGCACTGGCCTCTGGATCAAGCCTGCCCCAGAGGATGCGGTGGGAAAGGAGTAACATCATCTTCCCTCCTGATCCCACCTCAGCTGCCACAGAACCCCTTCCTGCTTGCTGTGGGATCCGGTTCCCCTGCTCCCACTGGCCTGTTGGCCGTGCAAACAGGCTCGTTCTCCACAGACACCAGTGCCCAGTGCATTTGGCTGAGCGGTTTGGGACACCTCTGTGTCCCTGTCCCTGGGGACTCAGAACACTGGGATCTTGTCCCTGCGCACCGTATCCAGGTCATCATCCAGGGTCAGCAGGACCTGAGGAGGAAAGTGCAAGCCAGATTCAGGTCTTGCTATCCAGGAAGGTCTTCCTTTCAGATCTTCAGGCCCTGCCTTTATGGGAGGTATTCAAAAATCCATGAGTCACTGGTCACAACAGCTGTGTTACCCACAGCTCCAGAGGGAATTTGAAGCCAGGAGGCACTGGGAGAGAAATAAGGTAAAGGAGAAAGCCTGATCCCTCATACCACTGACAAGGAGCATATCACTGTGAAGGATGTCTGGAGGTAGAGCCAAGCAGAGGAGTTGGGGCACTTCTGTGGAGTTCTGAAGCAGTCACAGCTCCATGTGGATAGAGGGGAGCAAGGTGAAAGGAGAGGGTGAGACCATCCAGCACAGTGGGAGGCTCAGCAGGACTCACCAGAAAGGAGAAGAACAAGGCAGCTGCAGAGAGGAAGTGCCAGACATCATGGTCATCAAAGAATCCCAGCAGGATGCATGGCCGGTTCTTTTCCCGGGACTCTGCTGGAGTCTCCTAGGAGGGAGGTAGAGGGTCAGGACCTGATATCCACCCCTACTGGGGCCTTGCTGGTCACTATACCCTATAGGGATCACCCTGTCTTAACTCTCCAAGAAAGATCCAGGAAAAGGTGCTGGGCAGGCCAGAAACAACACAGTGTTATACCTGGACCTCAAAATGGACCTGAGACCACCACCCACATGCAAAGGGAACCCTCTAGTCTCCACATTTGAGGTCTTGCACAGCAGAAGTTGCACAGCCTCCACCAAACCACCCTGCAGCAAGCTCCTCATTTCCATGGAAATGGATGTGACATCCTATTAGAAGGCACTCAGTCAGGATTTAATGGCCTCCCAGGTCACCAAGAGCCCTAACAACCCCTGGTTGACTCCAGGTGGCCATCTGCTCCAGGGATGTCTTCCACCAGCACTGGTCAGGATTTTCCCAGTTTCCCTTCCAGATCCCCAGTGCCTTTGTCCCCTAGGAAGGGCCAACCACCTCCAGATCACCTGGTTATAAACAGCTTCTACACAGCTACAGTCATTTTTGGCTCAGCACAGCTTCCCGTGCTCCCTTCACAAGTCTGCTACATGAGCTGAAATCTTTCAGCTCCCCATGAGCAGCCCAAGACTCCTCCAGAATCATTTTTGTGCAAAACAAACACCAGGAAGGAAAGATGATGAGAAGGAGATGGACAAAAGAACCGTAAAACGGAAATTTACCTCCCAGCTGCTGAGGGTCTGGAAGAAGAAGTAGAGGGCAGCTGCCCACACCACTGCTGTGGCCACGATGCAGAACATGGGGATGGGCAGGAGCTTCTCAGAGCTACGGAGCTGCAGACAGGGACATACCCCAAGTTCTTTCCAGGGGACAGAGCCATGCACAGGGCTCACACACCAGCCTGTACTATCTGCATTTGTGAAGGGCTGCCCACCCCCCAAAGACACAGCCCAGCCACCCCTGATATGGCTACACACCATCCCTCCCCAAGACCCTGTTCCACCCAGACCCCCACAATGTCCTTCCACATCCCTCTGCAACACCACAGGAACCCAAACTGCAGTCGGATAAAAGGCCCGTCCCTTTCCCTTTGGATACAGGGGCCTCAAGGACAGCTACAGCTGCCTCCTGTTACCTTCATGATGATGTAGAAGGCCAGATACAGGAGCAGGTTACAAATGAAGATTCCCAGTATGTAGGAGGCGAAGTCTCTGGGCCGGTACACCAGACCAAAGATAGCACTGAGAGAGAGGATAGAAGGGACATCAGGCAGCTTCCTTCACTGGGGACACAGTACATACCCAAACTGACAGCCACACACTGTTCTACTCCCTGCCAGGACTGTGGGACACAGCACCAGTGCCACAGCTTCCCAGTTCCCTGGAGGAAATGCACTGTTTGCCTCTGCTCCCAGACAAGGAAGTTTAGCCATCGTCAGCTGCTGAAGCAACTGGAGACTCCAAAGGACAGGCAAGGGCCCTGGATTGCTTCCAACCCATGGCCAAACACATGGCACTTAGCAGGATTTCACCCTAGACCGTACATTTGGTAGAAGGCATGTCCCTGAGAAGCAGCTTTAGTGAAAAGCATGAGCCTGGGGCAATGATTTTAGGTCTCATCCAAGAGTTGATCCCTCCCATGCAGTTACTGCTCAGCCAGGCTCTGTGATTAAGGGTCTGCCAGGTTTCCTGAACCTTGGCTGTGCCAGAGATGCCTCAGCTCTGTGGGAAGCACAACACAGCAGCACAGTACCAGGCCAGCCCTGCACAAGCTCCCTCAAACATGAGCCATGAGATATCCCCAACTGAAACACTCAGGGGATGCTCCATGTAGCTCTAATGCTGCACTGCATCCTATGGATCCGCCTACCACCCTCAGATCAGCCTGCCTGCCAAAACATGTCAGAAGGGCCCAAGCACAGGATTATTGCACAGACACTGCTGCATCTCCCCATCACTCCAGGCCACCTGTGTCCCAGTACCAAATCCTGCTGCCTACATGCACAAATACATAAAGCATCAACATTCCAGTACTTACAAGGACCAGTTGACTAGGTTCCCAACAATGAGCAGCACCATCCTATCCTGGAGAAAAGACACTGATGATCATATGAAATGAAGACAGTATGCAAAAAGGCCTTTGCCTCAGAAATTCAGGGGAGCATTATGTGAGGATTTGGGAGTCCAGTTCCTGCAAATGCATATGCACCTGGCTCTGTGGAAGCTTTTATCAGATGGATACTGCTCTGACCCTCAAAAATTTTAGGGAAGTGTTACAAGGAGACTAAGCATCTAAAAAAGGACAAGCTCAGCACTTAAGGGATCAGCCTCAGGAGGTTCTGTGAATCCTTTGACTGCTTCTACTGTTTTTCTAGTTAGATTCCTTCCCTCCCACTGTTTTACAAAAGAATTACTGCAGAGAGCACGGATGTGCTCGAAAGAGGTAGCAGGGAAGCTTTGAACAGCATCCTGCACATGTTCAGGGAGCTATCTTTTCTTGCCTTCTCACCATTAGCTGGGGAAGTGCTATAACAACAGCAGGGAGAAGGATTACATATGTAGGGCATGTGCATTTATGCTTACAGCTGCTTTCATGATGTAGCTGTTTCAGGGTGGCCAGGCTTACTTCATGCCTGAGTGGACCAAGTTTGCTTATTCAGAGATAGGAGAATAAATAAAAAATTAAGAAGAAGGATGCTCATATGAATAAAAACTCCACATAGTTCAAGCTGTAATTAGCACTCTGCTAAGGAGAAAGGAATCAGTGGGATTCAAGGTAACAGCCACCATTTCTTAACTTTTTGCTATCTGCCCTGAGGTGCAGCAGAAATGGCAATTGCTTTTGCTTAAGCCACAGACCCAAAACAGTTGCAGCCTTCCCCAGAGAGGCTGCACTGCACAGAGCCTCACACCTGTTCCTCTGAATGGACGCTCCAGAGAGCAAGTGCAAAGGCAAATCCTGTCACGCTTGTATCACCTTGCTCTGTGTTTTATTCACCAAGGCTGAGATCAGGGGAGGCCTGGAGGTTGGGGGTAAACCACTCCAGCAGAGATCTACACTTACCCAACCATTTTGGGGGAAAGCAACAAGGGAAGTGAAGACAGTCACTTTTTCAAACAGCCCCACCTCTTTCCTCGGCACATTGCCTAAAGAAGTGAGGAATTGCTGAGAGGTGCTGGGATGAGAAGTCACCTACCATGTACATTGGTCGGCTGCACTGCTGGATACAGTCCGTGTACAGCACCATCACTGCTCGCCGAAATACACCCATGTCTGTCAAATGAAAGGATAAATAGCCAGAACAGCCAGCACAGTGAGCTCTTAAATGCCTATGAGGAAGAAGCTGACACCCTCCAGCTGACAACAGAGAATGCCAGGTGTCAGCAGATTCATGTCTTGCCCTCTGGAGGCAGTCTGTGCTGAGCAAAAGGGCATCCACCACAAGATGTAGATGGCAGTTGGCCAGAACAACAGGTTATAACAAAAATAAATTTAAAAACTCCCTCTACACTAGCACTGCCCAGGAGTCACACAGGCCCTGCCTATATGTGTAAAGAGGCTGGCTTTGCAACACCATCTCTGGAAGAGAGGTGTGTGTATGTAGGAAGGGGGAAAATTTCCTTCCATGGAACAAGCTGCCAGAGCAGGGAAACAGCAGAAACAGGCCCCACAGGCTTTAGAGGGTCCTAGAGCACACTCAAGGCACTCTTGCTCTCAAAATCATTGCAGAAACTTCACTACAGAGTCATCAGCGGCAGTGGGGTTGGACAAACATGCATGAATACACATGTTCCCCTTCAGGCACAACACAGAACTCCTGCACCAAGATCTGTGCTCCCCTGTGCTGGATTACTCCCTCCCTGCCAAGGAACAGTGCTGCTGACAAACTGGTTTCACTTCCAAAAAGCTGACCCCAGCTGGCACATGATCCTGCCTCCCCACACACATCCATGCAATCCCTGGCTACTACACCTCAGCATAATCGGTTCAACAGGAAAAAAAGGAAAGCTGTGGACAGTTACCTGAGTCAGAGCCATCTGAGGCAGACAGGGGCATAAGAGGAATAAGAAATAGGTTTATAAGCAGAGTACAAGAACAATGCTCCTCACCCTCTCCCACCTCGCTCCATAACAGGGTGTAGGTCACCTCTCTGAGCACAGCACTAGGGAGAACTGCAGCTGAATGGCAGCTCCCTCAGAGCCCAGCAATCCTGCCACCACAGAGCACACAACTCCTGCTGATTCCCACTGCTCTGGGAAGCACAAGGACTTCAGAGGCCAAAAAAGAAAGCATCAGACGGATGAGAGGACAGGGTAGCCCAGAAGAGGGGACACAGGACTGTCTCCTGTGAGGACAGGAGACCCCCATACACCCAGGAGGAGATGCTTCAGTCACAGCACTCACCAATCTTGAAGCGACCCATGTAGTAGATCTGAGTGCTGAGAGCCAGTGAGGCCAAAACGTGGATCATTGAGAAAATAACCCAGAACCACATGTCGTTTTTCCCAAACACCTGAAAGCAAAGACATTTTAAAAGTAAACTGAGCCCTCTTTCAGCAGGACAATCCTTTCCTGTCTGTATCACCATGGGACATTAAACAACGTCAATGAACACAGAAAGAAACCCCTAGATCTTCCAACCAGAAAACAAATTCGAAACAAAGTCCAGAGAAGCAAGAGGAGCTCAGCATCCTGGAGAGGAGACCATTCTTTCTGAATGCCCCTTTAGACAAGACTGGATGGACAGCAGCTGGCTCAGGGAAAAGAAATGCAGGGACTCCAAGGCCAGGCAAGCTCTCTCTGTTGAGCTGGGCAGCAGCTCTCTGGCCAGGAGGTAGATTTTTACCAAGGCAGTCAGGGAACCACCCATTTCTTTAACAACTGTACTGAAGTAGACCAAAAAAAGACAGAACTGCTCTGCAAGCAATTGCTCCTACTATGAATTTTCATTTTATTTAAGGACTGGAAGTAACCTGCAAGCATAGGTTAATGCTACATTAAAATCCTAATTTTTCATTCATACAAGAAGGAGTCCAGAAATTCTGATCTGCCATCAGGCTGTGAAAACTTCATTACCCTGAGGCAAAGCACTCGCCTGAAATTTTCGTTTTGTGTGGGCAGAGAAAAAAACCCACACAACAAAAAGCAAGCAGAAAAGCCACGTCTCCATTAATGGAACAAGGGAGACATGCTGCTTTCAAGCTCCACTAAATAGCTTCAAGGCATCCTACAAAAGAAGACCACAATCCATAATAAAGTCTCAGTGTTTTGAACCTTGTCAAGATCTACCACACCTATCAAGAGATTCTTGGGAAATCCCAAGGTCACCAGCTCCTCCTGCATGCCTTATCCCACAGGCAGTCTCGTAAACAGAGACCACTGCATTATGTGGTAGTGAGGAGCTGACATCCCACTGGGATCTAGCTGCTAGTTTAGAGCAAGAATTCCATGGATTTTGGCTGGTTACTGATGAATGAAAATGAGTCCTTCAAAAGGAAGGGAAGCAGAGACCTCCAAGGTAAAGCATAGTTTGAGGATTCTGGTGAGCCCAGCTCAGTACTTGCAATGCTACGAGCAAACGGGCAAAGTCTTGTAGCTTCTGCTCCAGTGCCCTTCCATAGGCAGGTACTCCAGGAATTTGCCTGAGAGCCCCCCAGACATTATGTTAGCCCTGCTCCTCTTCAGAGATAGGAAAATCAACTGCAGGAGCTGTGACAAACAACATGGAGTATTCCAAAGGAGAGAAACAGGCACAAGCAACTAGGTATAAGACACCTGTCTTGGAAGCCCAGCCAGCCTCTCCCCTCTTTCCTCCACTGTGAATCAAACCACAGGAAGACCATCTGTGCACTTGGACATGTATATCCAGATGCATGAATTTCTCCTCTGGAGAAGGATGGCATATGGTGGGCAAAGCCCAAAAAAAGAGCCCACCTAGAGGAAACTGTTCTGCTCTTCTTCTACCTAAAAGGTCAGGGAAAAGAAGGAGGAAAGCCCAGCAGAACTGAGAATTCAAATGCTAACAGCTTAACACACTCTTATCTGACTCTGTGCTTTCCTCAGTCATTTTCATACCTAAGCCATGTTCCCAGCCATGCCACCTCCTTCCCAGAGAAGCAGCCAAGTAAGAGGGAGCCATACCACTCCAAGGACAGCCAGGGAGATCACCACAGCAAACGAGGCATAGGCAGAGTAGGCGCTGGCATTGATGTCTGGATGCCGGGTCTGGTAGAGCTTGAGCATGCAGAGTCCTGCAATCATGTACATGAAGGAGGTGTCTGTGGAGAGACATAACACAAACAGCACAAACAGCTACCACCAGTGGCCCCAGAAAGCTGCTCCAAGGGCACACAAAGCATCAGGGATCTCTGCCTGCCAGCCTTGGATTTGGCCCTGCTGCTGCACTATACTGTACGGCACTTGGTGCTTTGCCACCTTGCAGCAGCACATCTGCCATGCTCAGGGGCAACAAAAACTAAAGAGGATCAGAAAATAAGTGCCCACAGGGCATCACAACCTCCTGACTGACCTTTGAAACAGACAGGCTCCAGGGAGACTTGTAAGAGTAGAGAGATGGGAAACGTCAGCAACTCAGCAAGAGACAGAACGTGGTAAATCCTAGCTGCAGTTCAAAAGGAGAAAGGAAACTCAGCTTACCAAACTGGAAATTGGAGTAATTAGGGCAGACGTGGTAACAGGCACTGAGCACCCCTTCCATCATCAGAGCAATGCCCATAGCATAAAAGAGACCAAAATGCTTTGGGATCCCATAGTCCTGGAAGAGAGCAGAGCTGTATAGTAAGTGCCTTCAACGTCCTGATAACAGGCAAGCTTCCATTCTCCGTCACTTCATCCCTCCTAACTCCTGGACAAGTCCTCCAGCCACCAGTGCAGCATAGTGTCCTGTGTGCAACCACAGCCTCTGGATTTAGACACATGGCATAGCCAGGTGAATCCACAGGCAGCAATCCTAAGCTAATCACGCTGAAGTTCTGATCTGAAGACCTCAGTGTCTTGGTACTGACATCACGAGACTGAAAATCTCTGTCCTGTGCCTCATGTCATGCTACATCCTGCCCAAAACTGAGAGAGGACTGACCAGAATTGCTCTTGTGGTCAGTAGGGTCTTAGAAGCACATGAACAGAGCCTATCAGCCAATGTGAGAAGACATTTCCATCACAATTTGGCCAAGATTTCACCTGTAAACCACAAGCAGTAGACCCTTACAGCTGCTAATGCCTTTACTTGCTACCAAGCCCATAAGAACAGAGCTGTTTCCAGAAACCACCAGACCTCTGCCCATGGGGCTGCAGATTTCTCCATCCTCTGCCAAAAGAGATTACAGAAGCTCTGCTTCAGAGACTAAGGCAGCCAGATTTCTCTGAGTTATCATAAGCAGCTCTTGTGTAAGACAAATCAAACTTCACTATAAAGAGAAGAATCTTGGGACACTCCTAGTGTCCCAGTTTCTCCACAGCAAGTGCTGCAGGAAAAGCCAGAGCCATGGGAGTCCTTTCTCTATTAATCTCCTTGTCCTCACAGGCCCAGGCTGGGTCACCACCATAGCAGTATGGATATACTGTAAGCAGTAAAGCACTGGGGTGTGCAGGAACATAAGCATCCCACTTAGACCCTTTTGCACAGGAGGAAAAAAAGAGGAAGATTCAATCCTCCAGCAAGGAACACAAGTGGAAACCCATTGTGTATCACTCTGGTTTTTACGTTCACTCCACCTTCCCTGCCTCCCCTCAGCCCCAGGCAATCCTGCTTCCTACCAAGGTGTAGATATCTTTCATCTCCATGGCCCGACGGTGGAGGATGTCCCTGCGCAACACAATGAGGAGGAAGAGAAAGCCCAGCATCATGTGGCCCACGTTACTGAGGATGTTGTTGAAGGCACTGCAGGAAAGAAGAATGTTTAAGACAAAGCCAGCACAGCAGCAGGAAGCTGAACCCTGGGTTGTGATAAGCTGAATCCATTTTGCTCCCCCCTCTACAACCTTCCACCTCAGCAGCTGCCGAATTGCAATTTTACACTCTAGATGACAACTTTGGTTTGAATAGTTCACCTGTCTCAGTTAATTTAACACTTCTTCTGTGAGATTCTCAACTCTGGGCTTTCTTTGCATTCACACATTAATTTAGAGAAATGCTGGAAGGACTGATCTGAACTTTGCAGAGCTGCTGCTCCTTGGATACAAAGTGTCCAGTAGAGCGCAGGGCGGGGGGGATGGATGGACCGAGGGACACCTAATAGCTGTGCCAATGATTTGCAAGGGGCACCCAGGTGCCACAGGTTCCAGGGTGCACGTGTCTTACTGCAACAGAGCACCACTGGTGGGCAAAACACAAAGATCAGAGTCCTAAACTCCCAGTGGTCTTATCAACGCTGCTACTGTGAGCCTGCCAATCATAAAATCTTAACCTGGGCACAAAACAAACACTCAGGAGGCATGAGATAAATATGCAGTGACCAAAAGGCTCACTCACCTCAGCACCCCAAGGGGATGAGCACACAGGAAGTTGTAGTAGCAGATGTCCTGATTGCCCGTCACATTCACTACCTGGACAGAGAGCAGGTGGGAGGCCTGGCATTAGCAAATCCTCCCAGCTCTGGGGGGTTTGCCACATGCAAACACAGCACAAAGACAAGGTGTACCAGGACGCAGCCTAGCTCTAGCACTGGCACAGGGGAGTAATGACATCTGCAAGCAGAGCTTTTAGGGTGGGACAAGATGTCACAGGCCATAAACCTGAAAACAGTCTTCAGAGGAAACACTGTGTGTTCTCAACCCCCCTACTAGTAGACCTGCTTGCAGATATCTGCATAACAGCAGGATAGCAAAGCCTGGGAGAAGGGAGGAGAAATCACAGCAAACACTACTTGCTTTCAGCTGTCTCTTAGAAATAGCATCAAATTCCTCCTGTCTCTAAAATGAAACAGGATCCAAATGAGACATCAGTTGAGCAGGAAAACAGCAGCAGTCCTACTTCTCAAGCAGAAATAGCAGAGGTGCCAAAACCCAATGAACCAAGCTCAGTGTAACATCAACACAGTGCAACAAGAGCAGCTACAGTAAACTGCTCCTCACACAGAGCAGAACTCCTGGGTGATCCCAGTTTCACTGTGACTGTCATCCTTGCACAACACAACTACAGGGCAAATTTAAAGCAAGAGGGGACAGTCATGAAGCCAAACGCACCGTCTGGTAAGTGATGACGAGCTGGATGACCGGCAGGGCATAGAACACCGCAATGGTGATGATGTTCCTGCAGAGGGGAGACGGCAATAGCAGTTACACACACACACCAAGACCAGGGGTGCACACCCAGAACAGAGCCCCACAGTGCTCGTGGAGGAATGTGCACACCTCACTGCTCTGGGGTTATGATCCCATTGTGACCCCCTAAAGCAGAGGAGCACATGTGCTTGTGCACACAGGAGGCAAATGCTAAGGGCATGGGAAAAGCCAGGATGTCGGCCACAAGCTCAGGTGTTTGAGTGCCAGTTTCTCCCCCTTCCCATTACGTTCCAGTGCACTGGTTGTTACCACACTTAAAAGCAATGACGCAAAACAGAATCCATTGCCAGGATCATGTGTGCACTGATCCACAAATATCCTTACTTGAGGTATGTGGGATCTGCAGTTACTGATTGGAACAGGGTCAGAATGGGTAACAGGATAGTTCAGAAGTGGTTCAGAAGATGAGCATGTGGACAGACTCTACAACCAGAGACTCTGGGTCCAGAGTTTGGGCCTTACCAGTTTGCCTTCTCCTTACCAGAAATAGATTTTGTATTTTTTGCTGACAATCCTTCGGTCTTTCCTGGACAAGTCCGATAGATAGAGGAACACCTAAAACATTAGTGGGTGGGGAAAGAGGGAAGAAAACACAAAAGAACCAATGTAGATTACAGATGCCAGTAGAAGATCTTGACATATTTGCAGCTTGGTGGTATTTGGACTGGTTTTACACAGTGAACTAACTGTGTCCCTTGATTCTATGGGAGTGAGTTCTGCAAAATCCTGTGACCTCCAGGAATGGCTCCAGCCACACAGAGCAATGCAGGATGACAAAGGGAGGCAGTTTGAGAGCTGCTGGCTTAAAGCCCCTCTGTACATCCACTGTAGTCACACTACTTGTATTAAATAGCCACCTACTGTTGCAGATTATTTTCTATCTTCACACCTCTTGGAACTTTCTGGGACACTCTGTGGGCATTTTCCTTCTTTCTCAACAGTCTCCAATACATTTTGATTTTCCATATTAAAGCACTCACTTTAGAAGTACTCTTACCATAGTGACAAAACTTTCAGTGACTGAAAAAAAGACTAAGAAGCACACTCAGCTGTATTAGATGAAATCCACCCTGAAAGGGAACAGGATTTTGAGATTTCACTGAAGTGACCAGTTCTGGTCATGGCCCAGACATCCCCATGGCCCAGCACAGGGACCACAGCTGCAACACCAGCCATACCTTAGTGCGGATGATGTTCTTATCACTCTCAATTTCTGGCATGGTGTCAAAGTCACTCTCCTCCTCCACAGAGCTGTCTGTGTCCGAACCAGCGGGAGGCCTGTGCTCCGGGGGGGACCGCTGATGTCCACCACTGGAGCTGGACTCATCTGGGCCAGAGCGGGGAGAAGGAGACAGGCAGGGTAAAGGCTAAATCCCCCTGTGCACAGCAAGAATAAAGCTGTCCCTGGTGCTTTGACAAGCTGATATGGCCAGTTCAGGGAAAAAATTTTTTCATGATCCTAAACCTTCCAAAACGTTTTAGGTGATCAGCTAAGAGCAGTTTGAAGGACCATTATCTTCCCCTCTCTGCAGCATTTTAGTTTTCATTCTGCTTTTATTCTATTACTTTTCATCTCTCAACATTTTCTACTCTCTACTAGCCCAGGCTCTGAAATCTGGAATTCAGAGACAAGACAAATACCTATAGAGAAAGAAGTAGACTGCTAGGGGTCAAAACCACACTCACCTAGTTAACCTTCAGATTTTATGTAAGCTTTATGTGTGTCTAAGCTTTTCTAAAAATACTCTAGAAAAAAAGACAAAGAAGAAAGTCGATTTTTCAAAGCAGGCAGAGTATCAGTTTTGTTCCCATTGCATCCCTGCCACTGGTCACATACAGGTCAGGAGGATGTGCCTGCACTTCCCACAGGCTAGGCAACTCCCAGCTCGTTGCCCACATCTATGTGGGCAGAACACAGGCTTCTTCCTCATTTCCCTAATGCTTTTAAAAGATTTCTTCTGAAAAAGGGGAAAGAGGGGTGAAGTGGTCATTAAGCCCTTAGGAAGGTTTTTTCCCCTCTGCTGCCAGGACATGATTCACCTGTTGGCAGTACAACATTATTTCTTCCCTAGTGAAATCCCTGGAGGCAAGAAACTCCGACTGTGTCTTGCTTTATGACACACAACCCTTCAGCCCCCAGGGTTAGGCATGCTTTGGATTAAAGGCAGACTGTGAGCTAATAACAGGTTCCTAGAAGCTTCCCTGCAAGGGACCTTTGTCAGTCACTAGTAAATGTCCTGTCTGAAGCAGCATTGTCACCCACAGCTCTCAGGTGACTGCATCTTGGGGAACCTCTTTCAGATTTGCCACTTTTATTATGTAGATGCTTTTCCCCAAAGTACAACCTGAGCCTCACAAATGCAATTTGGTTGTTTT